TAATAAATAGATTCGGATTAAAGAATATAATTATTCTTTGCCTCCGTTAGTTTCCCGGGCTGGTAAGATTTTATGTTTGTCAACTGATTAACATTAGTGGTTACAATGTGTGACACTGTGTGACACTGTCTGACACTGTCTGACAGTAGTGGGTGAGTGAGTTAATATTTATCGTCACATCGGCAATATGACGATAACAATTAATCATTACATTAACGATCAATACAATTAGAGATTAAAAACCTGTTGACGATGAACAGTAAAACTAGAAGGGTATCACAGATAGAGATATAAAACTAACACGTAATTTAAAACTTATACTATAATGCATAGATCACCAGCAACTGAAGGTAGGTCACCTTACGACTGTGTGACAGTATGTGACAATGTGCAGCCCTGTGTGACAACATGTTCTGAAGGCATGGGTTGTTGCTTGTTCCTTGCCCGGCATTTGTATTTATTAAAAATATATTATACATGAAAGAATACAATTTGTTCCTAATGTAGATATTCTACCAAGCAATCCTACCGCCGGTTAGAGCGCCCGCTCATGAAATACCTGGCAGCAGCAATGACGATAACACAGGTCCATTTCACAAGTCAGTGAACTCAAACATGTCCAGAATTGTGAAAGTCCATAAATGTGGACTCTCGTCAGTGAGCCACGTGTCCCATTCTTGTTGGGAGCTAACAAAAAGTCTTATTCTTGCTACACCACCCCCACTGGAAAAGATGATAATTAGCACTTCAGGGTGTAGAAAGTGTCGACTTGCGCTCGTCTCCCTCGTTTACAGATACAGCGATCTTTCTTCTTTTTTCTCTGACACGGTGTTTGGACTGAAAACACAAAAGGAGGTCACTGTATTACATACTGCCATGAGAGATTAGTGAAATGAACTAGATATCAATGTGGTCATTGCAACGGGATGGGTGTAACTGATCTCTCAACACACATGAATGTAACTTAAACTTTAGGGTTTTCTTTCAATATGGTCTTTCTTTCAATGTACGAGTTGCATGTCGCTGTACAGAGTTGCGGACATTAGGGGTTTCAGGAATCAATGAATGTGGGTTCGAATCCAAGCCTGTTCGACAAAACATATGTGCTGTCTTAGAAGCAATTTGCCAGGTCGAAATATTCATTCCCTGGGTACAGATAATTATGGCATTCCCAGTGCAATCTGAGCTTACACTTAAAGAGAAATGTTTGAGTGCTGTCACTGTAATGAACGTGATAAAAAATATGAACGTCAAGCACGAAATGATGCTGCTATTACAACGTATTGTCTTTCATGAAACAAGACAATTATAGGTATATGGCTATTTAACGTTTGATTTACGACAGATATGAGTTATTGAAATTATATGTTTGTTGCGTTCATGTATTCTGGTAGCATATTCAAAGTAAGCATGAATGTGTTTTCAGAACATAAACTGTTTCGTGGAGTTTCCCCTGGAGTAATTATATGAGCCCAACTATTAAACCCTATAATCTACGTTTTTATACAGCCTGATCAGACATCATTGTCATTCCGCCTTAACCGGTGGCTTTAAAAGGTTAAGGCCAACGGATTATATAAAGAAAGGAAAATAGTTAACTCCATCAGTGGAGATTAGTTCCGGGGCCATTGTTTTGTGAAACATTATTTCCTTTAAGTTCTATACAGATTATGCTTTGACAAAGAATAAGGATCATTTAGTCGACAAACCTTTTGCATGACAAAACGTATTGATCCTGTGTGCACAATGTCAGAATTCGTTAGAAACTACTGCACCTGGTGAGCAGAACCGTTGTATAATGGGCACATAGGACATTGGGTTTGTCTGGTGTTATTGATACATGTACAAACTCAACTCCTGCTAAAGATAAGCAGTTCTGTGCTCATGCGCTCGATAAGCCTGAAGGTCGATTGCGATTTAAAGGTGTCATTTCCGAGCTTTTTAAGTTAGAGGTTCCAGTGGATTGCGTGTGCTGGCGTGCCTTTCAGTCACTCTACAACCGATGTGAAGATCTTATCACGAATAGGGTTGGCCTGGCTTAAACACGCTACCAGTTCCTAAATATACCTTACCCCGTCAAACACCTATATTTGTCCTGGAGGAGTCCCTGTAGTGTAAACTCCTGGTTTCCGTTTTGTGGATTACAGTAATTTAACTTTACTGATGAGGATTCGTGAGAAGAGACGAGTGGAGTGACAAAAAATCGAAATGATGTTTTCTTGTCAGAGTCTAATTGGAAGTTGAAACGAAATGTCATTGTTAATACGTGCAAAAAAAGAGAATGTCTGAGTTTTAGAAAACATGAACATACATTGGACTTGGGGCAAATGGCGTGCTTTAATTTGGAGTATGCCACCTCTGTTTCAGGTGAAAAAAAAAGAAACTCGATCGGCATTCTTTTTTCCTTGAAAACCTTGAAAACCTGAACGAAAGTGAAGTACCGTAGTCTGCCATTATCCATCACGGATGCATAGGTGATAACCAAAGGTCGAGAAACAATTATAACCAGCCACCCTGCTTTTATAATGATCAACATTCAAGGCCTCAGAAATGACCTCAAACAGTTGTATGTTAAATGAGTCGAAGGCCTTTCTATATTCCAGACGCCAGTGTCCAAAATCATGTCAGACGTAATTCCCTGAAAGTGGTTCATACACACGTTCGTTAACACAATTATTACCTGCATTTAGCAAAGATTTCTTGTGATTGTGGACGTCATATATAGCTATCAGAGTTGAATATCAGTCATTGTTGATGGATATGCATTCATTAACTTCACATTTTTCATAACACAATGGCGACCTGCAGAGACTGCTTCCGGTGCGTTCTGTGACAAACGCTGCTCACACATGCAACCCAAAGATCTGAGGTAGGAAACGAAATATAGCATTTCAAATATAATGACCTGACAATCTCTCATTTAATGATCCATATTTACTTAAGGAGAAACGGTCCATGTAATCTGCCATACCGAAAGTAATGTCATCTTCCATGTAGTCTCGTGTCACTCTTTTTATCGGCGAAATCTCATTATTGGTGGCTTATTTTAAGAAAGGGGATGACTCTACTTACAAACTGCTCCAGTCTCCGTTGTTTTCGTATTAGTCACGCTGCATGCTGTCAATGTTCAAAATCAATGTTTGCCATCTAATCCTTACAGAATATTACAAACACAATTCGAACACAAACACTATTATATTTTCATCTTTCCGTCCGTAACTTGCAGCGGAACAAAAGTGCATTGTGTAAATGAAGGAAAGAGCAGTGAATATCAGTTGATCCTCTATTGTCGGGCCACAATGTATCTCGGAAAAGAAAGGAAATTGTGGGAAATGCCTACCTTTGTCTACCTTGAACTGTGGTCACGACGCTAACAGAATTAGAGAAACATTTGCAAAGGAAAACAATTACTTCAAATTAAATTTTGAGAGCCAAAAGCATTATTATATTTTATCAGTTATAATACATCAGTATAACCTAATAATCGAAGTCGTGAGTCATATGAACAGGCAAATTATGTCTAAACAAGAATAGAACTCAGACCCAGAACCAGGCTTTTGGGAATGAGTTCTGTGGTAGTTTCTACACATTTACACAATCCAATTCAGTCAGGAAACCATGTTTGTTTTGCCAAGGACATTTTAATAGTGTTTTCTACATAATTCTTATTCGCCACAGCAAATGCTTTTAGTTTAGATGGAGGACAACCTGGCACTTTCGATTAGTCAAGCTGAGTTAGTTCGCTTCTCGTGCCATCCCCAATGTTGTTTCTGACGTGCTGTCTGGCGTGTTGTCTGGCATATTCTATTCTAAGACTCAGACGTATCACCTGCTATTAAAACTGCCATGCTGTCTGACATGCGGTTCTGACATGTAGTCAGGTATGCCTTATATTTTGCTTTGCGGAGACAAGCAACTTCACGTGATTTGTCGTAATGGTGAACAAAAAGACTTTTCTGGATTTCATCTTCTTTTATTCTTCGATACAACGTTTCGGGGACTGTTCCGGTCCCATCATCAGGTAAAACTAATAAACAGCTAACTGTGACCGGGACGTCACCATGCTTATGACGTCACAATGCTATGACGACGCTAATTATAACAGGGCTAATAGTAATACATGTTATTATGAATATATAAAATATTGTTTACTCTAAAATTACTGGATTGATTTAGAAATGTACAAATATTTATACATTTATACATGTTTAGAATGTAAAGTAATTACAGTGTATACATAGAAATTATAGTTTATACATGGGTACAGTGTGTTTATGAAACAGTGACGAAGGTAGAATATTGTCTATTGTTTTATGTACCCTGCATTCGGGAGGTACACACCCTGATCCCTGTTTATTGCTGGTTTTGTATGTTTGATGTGGATAGCTTTAATCAACTTGCGTTTCTGCCAGTCACTAATGTTTTTTGCGAGGATTTCAGTTTCCCAGTCAATTTCATGATTAGGATTATTCAATGTGCTGAGAAACTGCATATTTCAGATCCGATTTGTCGACTGAAGGTTTCGTTCTTTCACACGTGTTGCTACTGGTCTGCCTATCTCACCAATGTACACATTACAGTTTACACGGCCTTTGGGGTTAGAGATAGCCTGATTGCAGCCCTTACCATTTGCATGTAACAAAGTTTTATTGGTTTTGCCAGACAAGAAAGTTGTGTCAATGCTGGCCGTTTTCCTTGGAAGTCTGCTGACTCGGTGGCTGATGGGCCCAACATACGGGAGATGGTTCAGGTTTTGGAGGTCGCTGACCGTGATCTTGTATTGTTTTCTTTATAGTGGTTTCTACAAGGTTCTTAGGATAACCATGGTATGTGATGAATGTTGTCTTCAGGTGGTCTACTTCTTGTTGCAGTAGGTCAGGGGTGCAAATTGTTTTCGCGCATCTCGCAAGTGTGGCAACAATTGCTCTCTTGATTTGGGATGGTGGTTTGAGTGGTGATGAATACTTTTGTCTGTGTGGGTAGGTTTGCAATAAACCGACGTGGTGAGCTGGTTGTTGGAGTTGTCAACGGCGATGTCCAAGAAAGGGAGTTTGTTCTGCTGCTCTGTTTCCATCGTACACTTACTTCTAGGGTGTTGATTGTTCAGGTGGTCTAGAAGTGCATTGGGGTCATGATGGTTGTCTAGGATTAAGAACGTATCATCAACCTTCCTGTGCCAACATAGTGGTTGGAATGGTGAAGTAGCCAGAGAAATTTCCTCAAAGTTGGTCATGAATATCTCAGTTATGAGAGGTGAGAGTGGAGATCCCATGGGTAGACCATGAATCTGATGATATATCTGATCTTACCGTGTAAAGAAGGATGTTTCAAAACAGGCTGATGATGCTGTCGATGGATAGTTTTGTGTCGATCTGGTCTATACAGGACTCTAATGGCAGGATTGCTAGGGATTCTTCTAGGGGAATGTTAGTGAATAAGTCTACCACGTCATAACTGACCATGGTGCCACTAGTTTGGTAACCCTTAAGTCTGTTATCAAACGATGATGAATCACTGGTGAAGGATTTACCATTTTTCCTAAAGGTGCTAAAAGGTTCGACAGGAACTGGGCAGTATTGGCAGCACACTAAGCGTTGTACATAACAACCATAGCGCTAAGACTACCGTAAGTCTATGTTAAGGTATGGGAGTTACGGTCACCTTAGCGCAAAGATCGCTTTGTACAACGGCACCCTGGTCTTCACTGGCGATCTATGAATTTTGATAGTGGCACGAGCGTAAGTTGGCTGGTTGTCAAGCATCCACCTGTACGGAGCATGTTTTTCTGTGTACTCAGGCAAGTTGTCTGTCTTCTCTAGTCAGAAAACTCGTTTGCTACGAGTATGATGTTTGCCTGCTGTCGAATAGGCCATAACATGCTCTGTACTCTTGTCTATTTCATGGCACGGCGCCTGTCATGTAGCTTGGCGTGTCGTCGGCCCTGTTAATGACCTGTCGTCTGCCATGTAGTATGACCTGCCGTCTGCCATGTAGTGTGACCTTCTGTCTGTCATATAGTATGACCTTCCGTCTGTCATGTAATGTGACCTGTCGTCTGTCAGGTAATATGATCTGGGGTCTGCCATGTAGCATGACCTGCCGTCTGCCATGTAGTGTGACCTCTTGTTCTCTGCCCTGTTAACGATCTGTAGTTTGTCATTCCCTGTTGCCTGCCCTTTAGTATGACCTGTCGTCTGCCCTGTCCATGACCTCCTGTTTGCCATGTAGTATGAACTGCTATCTATATTACAGTGTGGCCTATCGTGTCTATTTTACGTCACGGCGTCTGTCGTCTCTCGTGTAGTCTGACGTCGTTCATCATTTAGTCATGTTGTTTGTCTTCCGCCATGTTGTGCGACATTATCATGAGGCTGGTAGCTGCCTGTTTGAGATGAGATAAATCATTCAGCGCTCTTGAGACATCCGCCGTTTATTCAATCGAAGTTCATATTAAGCATATCCACTGTGTCTGCCTCCAGAGTTGATTCTACGCTGATTTTGTCTGAAAACAATGTTTATGCATTTACTGCAATACCCCAAACAAAACAGCACAATGAGACAATACATTTTTGTTCTGTTTTGTTTGTAAACATGTGAAATCATTTCAGAAGTGTAGCTCCTTATTCCCCATGTGCGTATGTTCAAGGTAAGGTTTTTGTGATGAATTGGGTTGAGACTGAAATGAAACATCTGTCTGTAGATCCTATTAATGCTATGGCTTCTCCGACGCTCACAATATCCTCTTATCGAAATCCTCTTACCCCTAACCGTTTGGGTTTTTGGTGGTTTTTTGTTTTTCCTTTTCCAAAAATAGTAATTTGTCTCACTTTTGCGTGTGTGAGCGTCACATTCTGAGATGTCAAAGTAATCGTATTCTTCATTTTGTATCTATTAGTAATAATGTATTATCGCAATGTGGATTTTTTTCAGCGGGAGATTCTTGACACACTGGAAGAATTTCCTATTAACACTCTACTCAAAATTAATTGTGGCCACTATCTAAGAATAACAGACATCCAAATCATAGTGGGAGTTTTGAGCAGGAACGTATATTTTCAGAATACAAGATACTCAAATGAAGCTATGGTCTTGTTTGGTACAAAAATAGTACATCTCAGTCAGTGCCAAAATATTACTTAACTTTCAGCTTTTACAGTCTTCAACACAGGAGAAGCTGCTTTAGCGTTCCTACTATACGATAAGAGTGTACATAAATAGTTCTGTAGATAGATAACCCACGAGTTTTTAAGTGGTTGACTACATAGCAATGGTCAAGGTCCACGATGGCACAAGTGTGTTCTTGCAGTCGATCCTGTAAAATTGTAGGCTCAACAAAATATTTTCGATCAAATGAAGCATCAGCAGGCTTCAATAGGATATCTGTCCATGATGGATAGCATAAATTGTTGATAGACTTTCCCCAATTTTTAGAATGTGTAATGTGCAGTTACCATGAACAATAAACAAGCGTAGCACATAAAGTCTATCTGACTGTGCCACTATTCTGCACGGTTTGTTTGTTTGTGTGTTTGCTTGTTTGTTCACGTCACACTCAGCAATATTCCAGCTATGCTTTCTGTGACATATTCGATTACAACAGACAACCAAGTTTACGATATCAATATTTCAGCTGTTTTTTGTCACCAGGTATTGCAGGTTGTCATGACATAACGCATGACAAAAGGGAGCAAGACAACATCAAATGAACTCAGGTAGATAGTCGTGTTGAGGAAATACCTTGATGGACGAGGACATTATTGTGAACTTTTCCACACTTGAAGACACTAATCTAAAGTGTATATCAGAATGTAACGGGGGACATGGCAGTTTGGATAGGTATTAATAATAATTTGACAATTTCCAGAGCTGGTTGACATGTTGGTCGATTCCGTCTACGTGCCAGGGTTACTGAAGATGTTAGCGACAGACTTCTGTGAGTCTTAATCAGATTGCATATTCCATTTACATTTCAGCCAGACGTGTGAACTTTATTTTGATCGACAGTAAATACCACAACATCAAATTTATGGAAAGTCAGAATTCTTCTAACTTTTAAATTGATATCAGAAGAAAAGAGACTAGTGATACAATTTGATATTTCCGTCTGAGGCAGACAAATATGGTATTTGATCCGGCGAAAGACAATTCCACTACAAACTTTCATGAGTTTTTACACACAGATGGCACAGATAATATCAACGTGTAAGTGTGTGAACCTAGTTTCAAATTCTTCAAACACACACACACCAATGTTAGGTTTAAATGTTATTTTGTACTTTATGCCCATTGGTATCGGCATATAACGGTGACTGAATATTCTCTTGCTTTGTGGCTATAAACTTAGAGAAAATCCACTGAGGAAAACATGGTGACAATGATTACTGAGTCGTACAGTTTATGCATTTAATGAGAGAGCCATCTCATCATCCAACTATTTACAAACCACCGCCATATTCATTGTATCTGGAATATTGTTGAGTGCGGCGTTAAACAACAGACAAAGAAAAGGTTACAAACACACATCTGTCATCATGTTGTTGTTTCTGGTTTCATTACATATAGCAGTTGTGACGTTGCTAAAGTATAACAAATTTCACTTAGTGCCTGATATGATATATATAAATCATTATTACTCTAAGAAGGAATCTCCTAGCCCTATTATATCGGCTATAAGTCATCAAATCTTGACCGGGCAAACCAGTGACGGATATCATTAGCAACGGGCCACACCTTCGGTTACCATGACATGCAATCCACCCAAATACCGAGCACTGATATGGGGATCTGTTGTACACAATGTTGACCAGGTGGTTGCAGGCGATCAACTCTATACAGGACTATACGTAACTACGTGTTCTCGTTCTATAGTCCTTAACCTTTTAACTTTATGTGTTACCATTCTCAGAAACCCCAGTTTCTAAATAATCATGAAACAGGATGGCTGTAATTGCTGCTGTTCTCAGCATCGTACCTGATCAGTACCATCCTTGCCGTGCTGCCAGCTCGATGTACTCTTAATTTCATCACAAAGATCCCTCTCGCCTTTCTTTCATAAAAGGTGAAAACCTTTCTGAACTATCATCTCAACACAGTGCTGTTGACTTGAAATATGCTTCACTGTATGATCTGATTTGTCGAGCTAAAGGACACTGCTAAATAGAGAAGGGGTGGCCTGTTATGAGTGGCATTTCTAGAATGTCGGTGAGTTGTCTGATTGTTCCAATTATAAGGGTAATTTGGATACTCTTGCATGAGTTAGTAAACTCCAGTAGAGTTAGATACAAGGAAACGTGGGCAAATTCGAGATCGCATAATACACGACTGAGTGATTTTGGAACGTTCAACTCTTACATGAAGACGTCAAGCAGGCATAAGGGAATACTCTTCAAAGGAAATATGAAGAGCAGTGTAAGGGATTGTACTATTACCTGTTTAAAAGTGGATAAGACTTGCACATATTTCGGTGAACTGTGTCCCATACGTTATATAATTCAATCTCAAATTGGATATATCCTTCATAGTCCATGATCTTAATTGCGTATCCGACTTTTGACATTTAAATCCACATGTCTTATAGATCTGCTGCATAACTATCAGAAACGGTATGTTATTGTGATATTCTCTTTTCACAGTTCATTTCTTATCACCACGTCTTCACAAAATGTCGCCAAGGTCTCCTTACCTTTTCTCCTTGCCACCATGTGGGCTTCACACCTCTCACTAATTCTTTTCAGCATGTTATTTTCAGCTCGGCAGGTTTCATTCCCACGCAAATGCTCTTACGCTCACATTTTTCTTCACAATTCTTCTCACCACATCGTCTAATAAAGTTTTTTTCGATATCTTCTCGATATGTATTCTCCCGATATATTTTTTTAATTTGCAGGTCTTATGTGACACCCTGACTCGTGTCAGTATTACAGCGTAACAGAAATATTATCTATTTTATAACTTGTCCGTGTGGACTCATTCACAAGCTTCTGATATTGACTTGAAGTTGGCAGGAAGTGGACTTTTCCTTTTCTATCATGTCGTCTTATTGTAATGAGTTAAAATTTGTTTCATCTGTGTCTT